GGTCTTTAGGAGGGCCTTCTGGCTGGCCATGATCATGGATGATCTGCCTCATCTGGTCGATGTTGGCAGTACCTTGTATGGCCAGCTTGTACTTGCCATTTTCGTGGCGGTGCAGTACCCTCGTGCAAAACCACTTCTGCGCCGAGGAGCTGTAGTACCAGCAGGCGCATCCATCAGGGAATGGATTCTCTGAGCCGTCTTCCGCCGCCCATTCTTCATTCAGTTCGGTTTGGTCAGCACCGGCGGCGGATCCGGCAGCAGATGCAACAGCTATCCACTCTTCGTCCGCGGACCCAGCGGCTGGCGCCGCGTCTGCGGGTGACCCCGCTTCTCCGCTGGATTCTGCGGGTGACCCCGCCTCTTTATGGAATCGGCGGTTCCACTCCTTGAGGCGATGGTCTTTGGGAAGCTGTTCCCAATTTTCCCTGGCAGCGTCAGCAACCCCCTCGGTCATAGGGACGCGATCGGCTTCAGTGATGCGCTTTCCTCCTCCAGGGACCTTCTTGTTAGGATCATGGACGTTGCCAGCGTCATCTCCATGAGACCAATTCCAGGGGGTCTCACCGTGATGAGGGCTCCTGGAGGGGCGGTCCATTGGACAGCCGCGCATGTGACCTTTGAAAGGCTCGCATTGACATACTTGTTTCCTGTATGTCTTGCGATCGTTGATGATCTCCTGTTTCTTAGCCCTTCGGTCCCAAGCCTCTGGCGTTTTAGTCTTGCCACCTTTGGTACGTATTATCATGCCAGATTCGTCCCGTTTGCAGTGCTCCTTGGACCACCAGTGGCGGATCACGTCCATCGAGTAGCCGGGGTACCAATTGATGTACCACTCCGGCACGTACTGAGCGGATACACCTACGGAGTGCTCCGTGCTGTACGGGTAGCCAGATGCATCATGTGTAGGGCGTCGTGGAGCTGAACGGCTCCTCCTGCGGGCTGGCCCCGCTGACGCACTGCCACGTTCCATGGGCCTTTCATCTTCATGACGGTGCTCTGGGTCTCGGGGTGGCGATGGTCGTCTGTTCTTCTTGGCATCGCGCCTGTCCTCCGAGTCCTCTGAGCTGTCCTGGACCATGAATACGTGCTGATGCGGGCTTCGAAAGTACCCGATGTCGGTTAGCTGCTCCATCGTGAGGTCGTTGAGGTCCATCTGGTCGCAGCCCTGCATGAATACGTCCATAGACCAAGCGGGTGGCCCCGCTGCTGCGGCTGGCGCCGCTTCGGCGGGTGACCCCGCTAGAACCTGGAGTGCTGTCAGCATCTGAGGTGCCGACATGTCCGAATCCAGGTATGGACGCAGCCTTGCGGCCCCTGGGCGCGACAGCAGGTCATTCATGGTTATCTGCTGATGTGCTGGCGCACTCAGGAGCTGGATCGCTTCTGCAACCTGCTCTTGGAGCATGTCCTTATAGTCCTCTTCGGCCTCCTCGGAGTCAGAATAAGCGGGATGGCCCCGCATTTCGTCATCAGCGTCTCCCGCTTCCGAGCCAGCCCGCGGAAGATCTGGCAGCAGCGGCATGCCAATCACCTGCGGTGCCAGCGCGGCGGCGAGCTCCTCCTCGGTCGCCGGGACGGTCTCAGCTTCGGAGATGTCGTCGTCGGCGGGTGGCCCCGCTGGAAGACCGAACCAGGCATTGAACGCGACCTCGTCGACTTCGTCCCAGCCGTGGAACTCGTCGAAGAGGGTCACCGCGTAGTCTTCCAGGGCTACGGTCACATCAGCGTAGCGGGCCATCACGTAGTACGTGGAGGAGCCCGCGGCGGGAGCCGCTTCTGGATTGACGTAAAACTCGTAGTCAATGTAGTCTATGTCATCCATAAAAGAGTTTTGAGCCAAATGTACGGATCCCTTTCCTTTCCCTTTCGGGCAATGATCGCGCAAATGCTCTGTACTACCGCATGTATGACACTTCATAGTATTACCAGAAGCGTCCCTAGGGTTGCCCCTCCGCCCTTTTCCCTTGCCAGAGGTCCGCCTGCGACCCCGACCTTTGCCTCCGATAAGAACTTCTTCAAAAACTATATCAGTTAAGGGCGTGAGGAAAGCAATAATACCCCTACCATGCATACGACGTCTGCGACCCCCTTTGCCACGACCCTTTCCATATCGTTTGAAATGTCGGCGTGCTGCACGTCTCACTTTTCTGACCGGTTTCTTCATAAAGCGCCTCCAGCGGCGTTTTGATTTGCGATAAGCCATAAAAGCGGCTTCCGCTCTTTGTTGTTCAGAAGGGTGAGTGTCATCAGCTGGATAGTCATTACCAGCAGAGACTATGCCATTGTGATCATCGTCAGATGAGGTATCTGTGTCAGTGCCAGATTCAAACGGAGAGGGTGGCTGAGACCCTTGAGCGGATGGCTCCGCTTGGCCCCAGAGGGTTGTGCCCGAGGGCGGGCTTGCAGTGTAGGCGGCGCCCGGCGTGTAGTTCGACCAGGCGTTCGCCTCCGCTGCCTCTGCCGATGCCTGGCCAGTCTGCCCTAAGAGGGCAGTGGCCTCGTTAGGCATATCGGCTGGATCAGCCCAGGGACTTGGCTCGCCAGGACCGGCGGGTGACCCCGCAGTCGTGGCGTAGACACCTGCATGTGAGTGGTGCCCTGTGAAGATACCCGCAATGTTGCCAGGAGAGCGCTCGGCAACATGCCCGTAGTTCCTCATCCTGGTCAGTAGCCTGTCATAGTCTGCTTGTGCTCTGGGCATCTGATGATTAAAGGGCTCCAGCAGGTGTTGGGCTCGTGACGCGCCAACGCCTAACGCACTGAAAAGGATCAGCGTTAGGATCTGAAAGTTGGGGATGACAAAGCCAACAGAGTTAGCCTCGTCACGGGCCATCTCGAATCGAGCTAACACTGAGTCGATTCGCTCGCCCCTTTCGACGCGGAAGTCGATAAGGGCTGTGCCAGAGTTGAGCTGGCGCTCATCTTCCAGATTTTCAAATTTGGTGCTCAATAGGTACAGTATATAAGTAACTGCATCCGTTGGCTGTCCGTTGACAGTTACACCATAGTTGATGATCTGGGAGGGGACCTGCATGGCGATACGACGAGCAAGGCCTTGAAGGCCACGTTGTAGTGCTGCAGCTTGCTGAGGTGGCGTCATATTGCCGCTCGTTACGTTTATCCATGCATGTACTTCGCGAGCGTACTCGCGAAAGGGCGTAGTACCGGCTGGGTCCCACGAAGGGCCGGTAGTACGCGTGTCGTCCATCCCCTGCCGCATGTAGCCCACAGCACATCCCATTATCACCCATAGAATGCCGAAGATAGTTATCTTAATCCAGTGCATGTGCATCTCGGCTTCGGTGATTGGTTTAGGCTGTGGTTTGTCAGGCTCGGGCGTAGTAGCCGTAAGGCGCCTGACCGGCACGGGATGCAGGTGGCCCCGCTGCGGGTAGCCCCGCAGAGTGACCACGTTCTCGATCGAGTTGCCGATTGGCATCTGGTGGAAGTCGGGAGTGAAGTAGCGCAGTGAAGTAGGAGAGAGCGTCTCGAGCTCGCGGGTCGCCCCGCTAGCTCGATCGCGGACTGGCTCCGCTCCTCGCAGAGCCGGCGCAACATGGCATTCCACCGTAGTAGTAGTCCACCAAGTTGCGCCGTGGATTACAAGTATTAGAGCGAGGGCCAGCCACACGAGAGTGTAGCCAGCTCCGCTACCAAGTCGAAAACGCACTGGTAAGCCAAGATATACGTTCCGCCTTCGGCGCTCCCATATCCCAGGCTTTGTCTCATATCGCATAAGCAAGAGGGCAAGATGAAGCATGGGATCTGGAGTAAAGGATAGAAGGGGCATCGTCAATAGAAAGGTTTTTTCCGATCTCAGATGCAAGTAGTGCCCCTCAATGAGGCACAATCACATGTTCGGCCGGGCCCGGCTTGAGCCAGGCACGGCAGCGGTGCATGCTCGATATAAATCTCGCCTTTAACCCTCTCCGTTTAAAGTCTTGATGCGTCCTCGGGCCTTTGCCGCGGCAGAGGCGACAGTTGCGCGAGAGCGCACGCGATGGCTGTCGCAATGCGGGAGATTGGGCAAGCAATCCAATTTCGATTTGTTCACGCGCACTGGGATGCACGGAGCCCCGCTGCCCCTCTAGGGCATGAGTGGATGAAAACGTTTCATTGCCCCCTTCGGGGGGGGCTTTGCCCCTCCCCCATACCCCTCCCCCTTGGAACTGAACGGGGAGGGGGGCGGCGCCGCTTCGGAGCATGCGCAAAAGTCCTCGGTTGCAAGGCAAACGTCGTGATTTCACCAAGGTTTTGGGCACATCTGGGCGTCTCGGGCGGGGGGCGCCAACTTGAACTTCTCCTTGCCGTGATCGATCTCCACGAAGATGGCCCCAAAATGGCCCCCGAGGCTCACGAGAGCGCCCAAAGAGGGCTCCAAAAAGCGCCCAGGGGGCCCCAAGAAGCTTCCTTTATACCCCCAAGGGGCCTCAAAAGGCTTTCCCGAGGCACCCAAGGCGTTTCTTCAAAGGCTGTCTGGGGCCGCCAAAAGGCCCCCGAGGCGCCCCCAGAGGCCGACAACCACCTGTCGACAGACACCCGAAGAGACTCAAAACGAAACCACAAAAAAAAAAAAAAAAACATCCAGGAGGCCTCTGGCCTCTGCCCGCCCTCCTCCTCCTCCTCCTCCTCCTCCTCATCCGCTAGGTCCCCCTCCTCCTCCTCCTCCTCCCTTCTCCCTCCTCCCCCCCCCATCTCCGTCCTTCTCCTCCGATCCCTCCTCCATCCCCCCCCCCTTGGACTACGACTTCTCACCCACCTCTTGATTCCACAGTGTGCTCCACCGCATCCCTGATCAGAGCCACTCGCGTGGGCGTCGTTTCTGGATCGGCTGGTGGGGTTACGCGGAGCGACTGGAATTACGCTGGGACCCGTGATGTCCGTGATAACGTTGGACCTGGCAATGGTGGTTGCGATGTTGGCAGTTGGTTACATTGCTCTGGGTACTCATATCCTATCGATACAACTCGGCAGCGGCGGCCGCGAATGCTTTGTCGCGGCTACAAAACACCGAGATCTGGGAAGGGGCACTCAGTCTCCCATCCGTCGTCCAAGGCGATCTGCCAAACAATCTTAATGAGTAGGGTCGCGGCCTCCTCAGAATGCAAACGGGTGGACCGCGTGCACTGCTTGCCCCCCCAAACGGTCAAGCGAAGGGCACTGTCGCATCCATCGGGGCCGCTCATTTTGCACCCGTCTGGCAGCGCTGCGTTCAAACTTTCCAAAGTCCTTTCTTTGAGGTCGACTTTCGGTGGGTATTTCCGGGGCTTCTTCGGAGCCGTCTCCGCGGCCACCTCGCCGGCTCCAGCTGCCTTGCCCCTGCCGCCCTTGCCACCCCGCCCACGTGCCTTGCCTTTGGCGAGGCCCTTCGCGGCAGCTTCCTCTGCTGCCTTTGCCTTCTCGAGGTTATCCTCCTTTTTCTTTTTCGCAAAATGCCGGATCTTGTTCTTGATGGCCTTCTGCACTTCCTCGTGGTTGTCCTCCTGCTCGACTGCGTTCTTCATGTCCTTGCTGTCGATGATGCCCTGCAAGTCCGCCTCCTCCAACAACTACTTCGCGCCCAGGGTGTCCTGTCTGCGGCGCCTCAGGATCTCCAGCTTGTGGTCGTCAGACAGAGGCCCTGGGAGGACCGCCTCAGCAACTGCCAGAATCAGGTCGCCGAAATCCATGGCAATGAGATCGCCCAGGGCCCCGACTGCAGCGGCGATCCTCCTGACGGCGACCCTGGGGAGCATGTAGCAACCATTCCACGCGGCGACTTCCAGCAGGGTTCCGCCACGCCCCACCTTCTCGAAAATCACTCGGTCCTCGCTCCACTCACCCGTCGCGAGGCGATGGTGCAGAGGAGCCCGCGCGGTCACTGTCATCGCCTCCCACTCGTGCCAATCGACCACCGCCATCCAATAGAACCTGTCGAGCTCCTCCATCACCCAGAACTCGTGTAAGCCTGTGGTCACTTTGCGCATGGGTACCCCTAGCACGCATGATCCTGACGAGGTTCCGAGGGGAAGAAACCAACGCTCTCCCACGAGACGGCTTGTCATAAGAATCTTGTGGGCGCTGGACTGTGCAACGACGCTGTGCCACGAATTTGGAGCCACTTGCAAACGGCCTAAAGGACGGAGCACGCCCATGAGCCTCTTATCCTCCACGTGGCCCGTGCTCAACAACGGCGCCGTCGACCAATAGGGGGCAGTTTTGCTGGAGGTGACCATTCTCAACCAAGGTTTCGGAAGCACCGAGAAACTGGCGCGGAACATCTTCTCTATGCTCCGGCTCCTCAAGCCCCTAGGGATGCAGATGTTGTGCCACCTCATTGTGCCGAAACTGAACTTGACGGATTGAATGGTCGTGCTGATCAGAGTCCACCAGCTCCGCCGGTCTGATACATCTCCTTTGAAATTCCCGCTGACTTCAGCCTGTCGGAGTTCACGGACGCCGTCTTCGACGATTTTTGTGGTTGTGACGCCGTCGATCTGGCGCTCTAACAGCTGAACAGTCTCTGGCGTGCGACGCCACCCTGCCGCCTGGAGGGCGGTGGCGACCTGCGCCGAATGCGCCCTATTCATCATGCTCCGCCGACGGACCTTGTCCCAGAAAGGGCCCTTGTAGATCGTCACATCCTGGATCTCATTCCAATCTTTCCATTCGCCCTCGACCACCTGCACGAACTCTGGGCCGCGAGCCTCGTCGATGATCCCGTAGAAATGGCACGGGGCGCCATCGAAGTGCATGAGGGGCCGGCAGCGGCGACGGAAGAGAGCAAGCTGGAAGTTCACAATCAGGTTCATCATCTGATTGTCCGAGTGTGCCTGCGGGTCATCGACGGTCATTTTCTCGAGCGTCTTCTCGTCCATTGTCCTCCTCGTATGCATGTCCAACTTTACGAAGAGGTCGTCGTTAATCGTCGCTGTAATGTCCCGCAAATGTGGCAAACCACGGTCAATGGCTCGCCCAACCCACCATCGCTTCGAAGCCTCACCTGACCTGTTCGTTTTATTCTGCTCCGAGTGCCACTCTTGGACTGGTTTCGCAAGCGAGCTAATGATGACAGCAACGGCATAGAGAAGTCTCTGCGAGAGCATCGACGCCATGAAGTGCAACGTGTTCTTGCAGCTCCTCCTGATCGTTCGCACCTCTTCTTTATCATCCTTGGTTGTTGTTTTGTTGATATCGTCCTCCTCCTTTCGCCGGACAATATCCACGTTCAGAAGGTCGGGCCTGACCTTGTCGCCAAGCATGTTCAGCATGGAGATTATGAGCAACAGTCGCCTGGACCAAATCTTGACGAACATGGAAGCAGACGTGACCATCTGAAACCACCTGGACGCACCAACTTTCGCAATCTTGTTGGACACGACGGAATCGAGAGATCGGAACATCTCTTCCTCATCCGCTTCCGCGGGCACCCTGTCCGGGTCCCCGGCCTCGCGCCACATGTGCTCGAAGAGGCCTCGCGGCTGGCGGGAACAACCGAATGAGAGTGGCGGTTCTTCAGGGGGCAATGGGGAAACGGCCCGCAAGACCGTCAGAGGCCAGCCCCCTTTTTGTCAAACCAGGCCTTGCTAAGGCCCATGGCGGAACAAACGCGAGCCAATGGAACCCAAGGGGACTCCAGAGAAAACTGCGAAAGCATCGAACAAAAGCCTTGATGGCCCGAAGGGCCCCAACAGGGCCACGAGGGTCTGCTGCGCCTGGCCCTCTTGGGCCATGGAAAAGCCCCTGAGCCCCCTGGACAGATCCGAACAGCCCCCAAGAGGAACCCAGGGGCGCTTCAAGAGGGCACCCCGCGGACGATGCAACAGGAGCAGCATCAAGAGAAGGATCGCAAAGCATCGCTCGTGATTCCACTGGTCTCCATGCGGAGCTATCGGTCATGATTCCAATGGCAGTTTCCACTGCAAGTTGGCTCGAGCCTCTACGAATGTCCGCCCGGCCACTGCGCGCCAACACAGGTGGGGGACCCTCTGAGAATAGCGGGGGGGGGGGCGGCAAAAAGGCATCACGCTGGCACGAATTTCCGAATGACTTTCGGGCGAACCTGGACGGGGGATGAAGTGGGGGGAGGGCGGCAAAAGAGACTTGAACCAGGACGTCTCGGCCCAAGGGTCACCAATCGGAGCCTCGAGGTGGGAGATTTCGACCACGGCGTTGCAAGTTGGAGCGTGGCAGCGGGATTCCTGGGCCACGGGCTTCCAAGTTAAACGCGCGAGACGGGAGATCTGGATCGGCGGGTTGCCGATCAAGGCTTCGACGCGAGAGGCCTGCCCCAGGGGGGGGGGCAAGTCAGAGCCTTGAGGCGGGAGGTCTGCACCAAAGGGTTACCGGTGAAATCATCGAGGCAGGAGGTTTGGACTCCAGAGCCACCGCTCAGAACCCCGAGGAACGAGGTCTGGACCACGAGGTTACCGATCAGGGCCTTGAGGCAGAAGGTCTGCATTCAGGGTTCCCGGTTAGAGCCTTGGGGCACGATATTTTGACCAAACTCTTACCAGCCAAAACCCTGAGCCGGGACGCCTGGGCCACAGGGTCGCCGGGCGGAGCCGCGAAGCGGGAGGCTTGGACCTCAAGGGTATCAATCAGTACGCTGATGGAGATCTGGGCCAGAGGATTCCCAGTTAGACCCTTGAGGTGGGAGGTCTGGGCCGAAGGGTTGCTGGTCAGGGCTTCAAAGCGGGGGGCCTTCGCCAGAGGGTTGCCGATCAGAACCTTGAGGCGGGAGCGCCACTGGGTTACCGATCAGAGCATCGAGGCGGGAAGCTCGGACTCATGGGGTCACCAGTCAGAGCCTTGAGGCGGGGGGGGCTAAAGGGTTACCAATCAGAGCCTTATGGCGGGAGGTCTGGACCAAAGGGTTACCATTCAGATCCTCGAGGAGGGGGGCGGCGGCGGAGGTGGGGGAGGTGGGGGGGGCGAAGATGGCGGCAGCGCTGCTGGAGCCATCGGCGGCACCCCCCCTGCCCCATGCACCCATGTGGAAAGACGCGCGTTGACAAACCAAAAAAAAAACGTTTCCATTTTCCGCGCCTGCGTGGCCCTGCGCGGTGCGAGCCTCCGACCCCAGGGCCCAGATCTCGTCTTTCTCCTCGCCGCCCCTCCCCGCCCACCTCTCACTTGCGCGCGCCCTGCCCCTGACCCCCCCTCCCTCTATCCGACCCCGATTACATGAGATGGCAATTGGTAGGATTGATGCGCGCCCATGCCCTGTGTTGCCCAGGAGTGGCAGAATGACAGAGCGACCGAATGTGTTGGCTGAGGATCTGCCCGAACGACCCCGGCGATAAGTTCCCTAGATCTTCCCCCCTGGGGACCTTGGAACATCGGGCACGCCCGTGTATTCATGTACAAATAGTCTCTGACACCGTCTCTCGTCTCGTTGAACCAACGCTGGGTGGGCCACGGCCCGTGGTCCAGATTCATAAGGCCGACCAAAAGGAGCGCCACGTGCCACCAGCCGCAATCCTGGATCGCCAGCCGCGTGTCGTTCCACACGCGATGGCTCACATCGAAGAAAGGTATCACGTTGAGGAACTCCGAGGCAAGGAAAAAACACGCCGACCAACCGTCGGACCCCTGATCGATCGTGACGGTGATGCTCGGCCAAGTCAGCGGGTCTCCCCGCTGGGCGGGGTCCTGCGCTACCTGGAACTGGTCCCATCCGCGACCGGTCGCAACAACAAGGTCCATCCACGAGGCCGCCAACCAAAGCAACACCTTCAGCCTGTGAAGCTTGGCCAGGGGCTTCGGGGCCCCTTCGCCCGCCATCGATTTCCAAAAAGCCTTGGCAGAGTCCCGCCAATTGGACTGCACCTCTCTGAGCGACTCCATGTCGGACGTTTCCTGGGCCAGCGTGAGAGAGGTCGTCAGCTTGCCGGTCACCTGTCCCCCGGCGGCGCGGCCAAGGCATGTCGCGGGGGGGGGGGCAACCGGGGCTGTGTACATGGATTTCCCCAACCCGAACGGGTAGAAAAAAACAAAAAAAAACATGTACATATATGAAATTTAAGCAACCCCTTTACGAGGATGCTCGCCGAGAGGGAAAGCTATGTACATGAATAAAACGGACGTGTCCGAGGATAGGGAACCGCCCCTCTGGGCCCCGGGGATTGCCCGCGGCGCCTGGGGAGGCGGCCACGCCGCTGGGCACTCCGAGGCGCTGATGATGCCCAGGAGCCGGTCCTTCAGGCCGACCGCGGCAGCATCGCAGGCGTAGTGGCACGCGAGGGCGCCGCGGGTGGGGGAGAACAGGCTTCGCAGCAAGAAAAATGCTTCAGGAGGCACAGCGATGGGTCGAAATCCGTGGATTCCTCGGCGCGTTCCTTCTTGGCCTCGTCAGCGCGCACTCGGCGAGCGTGCTCCCGGCTCAGGCCGAGGAGATCCTCTGGCGCGGTCTCCACAGAGACAGCGCCATCTCCAGCGGGAGCGCCCCCGGACAAAGCAGCAACAACATCGCCATCAACCATGCCCGCGGTCAGCATCACGAACTGCTGGAGCAGCCATTCCATCTGCTTCCCGCCGTGGTCGAGCTTCCGCAGCACGTCCTGAATCGGCACCCGCCCCCGCTCGTCAGCAGGCACGGCGAGGAAAAGGCTCTTCATTACGTCGAAATGGGGGGCGGTGTCGGAGGCCGCAAACAGCGGGGTGAGGTCCACGAGCCCAGCCACGACGTACACGCTGATCTTGTTGACTCCAAAGGGTGGCAAGCCTGGCTTGAGAATGGGCTTCGGATCAAGAAAGACAGTCCACTCCACGTTCGCCACGGGCTCGCAGTAAGTCCGCAGGACCGCGTCGAAAAACAAACTCCAGCATTCCAGCAACGCCTCATCTTTTCTGAACTTGTTGTTGTCTGAAGGATTGGAAAGGCGAATGAGTATGCGGATCAACGCCGCAGTGCTGATGGCAGGGGTTTGAAATATGCGGTAATCGTTATCGGCATCGTCATCTGCGTTTCCGGTGATCGCTGCCTTCCGCAAGTGCGCCTCCACATCGAACTCTGTAAAGTTTTTGATGGTGCCCACTAGCCTCCGTCTGTAGTTCTGCCACCATGTACCCGGAGGGGTTTTCCATAAGGCTTTGGGGACACTCTGCTCGCATATGCTCCACGGATTCCACAAAACGAAAGCTCCATTCACAGACTGTTGAAGTACATGCCCCTTGACCACCGCAAGCTCTGGACGGCCCATCACGATCAATTTCATGTTGATTTCCTTGTGGCGTTTCCGGTATTCGTGCAATGTGAATAAATCATATTGCCCGTCGACCTCTACAACAATCGTGCCATCTGCGGCCATCATCGAAATATCATCGACGAGGTCATCACACCAGTGGGACCCCTCTCGACCATCAGCGGCGACCAACACATTCATGTTGTGCTCGTCGTCCCACTCGACCTTCCACTCCGAACCCGCCGGCAACGGAGTGAGTTCCTCCGTCACGTTCTCGCGCAGGATCTGGATGCAGGCGTCCGGATCCCAGACAATAGAAAACCGTTTCCGCTCGAATTCGACCAACTCTGCCTCCATCAGGATTGGCAGGGCCCCACGGTAGGAGGACTGCAAGATTGGCGGGGGAATATGTGACCCAAACGGCTATGGATGCTGCCGGGATGTTGATATGTTGGCTGTGCTGGCTCATCCGCGCCTGTAGGTGCCTGCCACCTTGGCCGGCCGAGAATCGGATCCCTCAGGGCCTCAGGGCGGTGCCCAAGAAAGCCCGCGACGGCGCGAATATGGCCCCAAAGCGAACTGCGCGCGGCTGCACTGTGAGCCCCGCGCCTCGATTGGGCCCCGAACGGTGCCAAGGTGGCCCAAAACTGGCGGGGCCGAACAATGCAAACGGTGGCGTTTGAATCTCGGTGCCTCGGCTACCCTCCGCCCGGTTCCAAGATGACCCTGCGGGGCAAGATGAACCGACGATGGCCCACAGATGGCCCAACAGCGGCTGCCATGCACTGTCGGTGTACCCCTTCTGTGCCTTCGCTGGCCATCAAACGACTTTGAGTTCGCCAGCGATGGCACAAAAATAAAGTGGGCGAGGTTGCGTTCCCCCTTTGGGCCTCGGCGCGCCCGGGAACGTCTGCGAAATGACCCCCCCCCCCCCCCGCGGGCGCATCATGGACCCATGATGGCGCATGTGTTATTTACGCAATGTTGGTATGCCTGCGATAACGCCTTGTTTTCAGCGCCGCGGTAAAACCAATCGCGACCCGAATTCACGCCAACATGTGCCAGGAGCTAGCTGAGCGCGGTCGCGCGTTGCGCCCCCTGCGCCTGCGATGGCCCGAGAACGGCCCCAATGCGCCATGATGCCCAAACATATGGCAAGATTGAGCAAAACAGAACGGTGTCCGAACGCCCGCCAAACAGCAACTGATGCCTTCGTCCCGACGCTAAGTTCCCCGCGCCGGCTTGTCCGCGTTCGCATGCCCCCCTGCGCTCCAAAGGCTGTCTTCGGCGTGCCAACCTGTCCGCGCCAAGGGCCCCAAACAACAGCGAAAGGTTTTTGGTGTGCCGGCCTATCCGCGCCTATTCGTGGGAAGCCCGTACCCCCTTAATTTCCCGCACTCCGCAAACGCCCCGCCAGGCGAACGCCCCGCGCCTAGCTGAGGCAATGCGGACCTTCAAAGCGGCAGCTGTTGAAGCCGCACTTTCCTGCCCCCTACCCCCTCCCCGTGAGGCGCCTTTTTTTCCGCCAGTGCTTAGGAAGGCGCAGCTGTCGGACGGTCGGTGCTTTCCGCCGTGTTTACCGCCAGTGCTCAAGAGGACGCACCCTTTTCCCCCCTTTTCCCCTCCCCCTTTCCATCGGTGCATGCGCGGGCGCTTTCCCGCTCCACGGGGCACCCTCTCGTCAACTGGCTGAGGGCCGCCCAGAGGATGTGCCCTTGATTTTCATATCTATGTAGAGGGACGCGCGAGAGCTCTTGAGGTTTGTGGAGGCGCACGTGTCCTTCAGGACAGTAGCCCCGCGATGCACTCCGGCCCGCCCGCCCGCAAGGGAGGGGGGCAACTCCTGCGCCCCCTGCGCCTGCGAGTGAATCGATAAGTTAGTTTGGAAGTGGCCAGGCGGAAGCTTCGGGGCCAAAGGGAGGGGGGCGGAAATCGGAAAAAAATCGGGACCCGCGGGTGTTTTGTCAAAGCGCAGCGGAGGTTTTCAGAGCAGGTGGGCGTTTGTCGGGGCGCGGCTGAGGTTTTGGAATAGGCGGGCGGGGGTTGGGGGCGCGGGGGGGTGCGATCCCCCTCCTGCCCTTGCTCTCCCCACTGTTCCTTAATCCCCCTCCTCTTCCCATCCCTCCCCCTCCACCACACCCGCGCTATCCTCTTTACTTTCCACCTGCTGCTCGTCCTTTTGTGGTGGCAGCGGCGCCCACGCAACCAACTGCCGGCCCCTGGCGACACTTTCGATGATGGCCTGCTCGCGTGGCGAGAGCATGCAACAATAAAACTCAATTGCCGCAGTGGCCCCGCGCGCGCCCTGCCATCAGTGGAAGAGAACCCCAACTACCACTGTCGCGCCTGGACGAGCACACCCCATGTCCGCAGCGAAGTCGCCAGCAGCGGCGGCAGCAACGAAAGGCAGTACGCCTACTCAGGGTTGGAGAACGAATCAAAACCTCAGGCCCCCCCCGGAGCGTCCGAAGGAACGCCCTCACTGTCCTGCTTCTTCGCCTGGAACGCACCGAGCTTCTGCAAGGCGGCCCACTTCTTCTCAGACATGCTCTCTGGGCGTCTGATCCCCACCCGCCGTGCCGTGGAACTACCTGCCATGGGGCTCGGCGCCGTCCAAGCGGCCAGCGTGCCAGACGGCCTCGGGCTGTCGGACACGCCGCCGACGAGAGACAAGCCCAACTCCGACCCCGCTGGGCTGCATTCGGTCGCGGAGCTCGCTGGCGAACTCGCATCGGCGACCTTGGGGCCCGGCGATGCGACCTCTCTGGAATCCTCGATCTCAAGCAACTTGGGATCACGCCCCTCATCTCGCAGCTCCCCGTGCGCGTCTGGCGTCGGGAACGTCATGCGAGGCAGCATGTCCTGGAGGGCCTGCACCAAGAATGTGGCGAACTCGGTGGCGAGCTTCGGATACAGGGGGTCCTCCACGCACGCCTTGTTGTGGTCCCAATTCTTCTGGGGCTTCCAAGCGCCCGTGATGGATGTAGCCAGGGGCCCCGTGAACGGGAAATTCTTGCCGAGGAACTGGAAGCCCTCGTACTTGTGCTGCATCGGGTCGCTGTCCTCTGAGCCCGCCCCAATCGGAGGGACCAACTTGAAATGCCCGCCAATGGCAAAATCCAGCTCGAAATCACGCGTGATTTTGAGATCAGCCGGCCACCCGCCCATCGCGACTATACGATCGTTGTAGACCTCGCACCAGGTGCTCTTCTCCATCGGGCCCAGCTGGTCGGTCTCGCTCACGCAAGCCAGGCGACGCACCAGCTGCAGCGGTGCCTTTGCATTATTCTTCACGATGGCGGTGCACGCGTTCGGGTCCTCGAGCTCCTCAGGCGCATTCATGCCCGTCACGGTGGGAAGCCGCTGCGCCCATTCTTCAGGAAAGCTGTGGGCGCCCTCTTGAGCTGCCGGCCCTCAAGATCCGAGGCGAAGCGGTTCTTGTCCTCCATGGCGTGGTCCTCGATTTTGATGGCATCCTGCGCGCGCCGGAGCTTCCTGGCAGCATTGGGATCATTGCGGATCGTCTCCGCCAAGTCGTGGATGCCCTTCTTGATGGCAATCTGGTCCTCTTGTTTTTCCATGTGGGCCATGTCTTTGGCGAGTTTTTGATTTTTTGCTGCAACATGGCCTCCATGCGCGCCCCTCGCTGCCCGCTCGGGTGCCATGGCTGCGCTGGAGGGGGAATTCTGTAGCAGGACAGACTTGGAGCTTCCCTGCGGGTCCGGATTGAACAAATATATTGCGGATGTGATGGTTGCGTTTCACATTGCAGTGCGCGCGGGTACGTTTGCACTTGGAACTTGTGACAAGCGGCCGAAACCACGCCTGCAACATTGTCGCTCGTGGTCTATATCCACTGTGAAACTGGACAACCTGAGCGAATCAGCTAGGAACCGATAGTGGCCGATTGAAGCCCATAAGGTTCGATGGGAATCGACGGATGCAACGAAAAAGAGACAATAAGAACCGAACGCAAGAGTCGAGAAACACCGGCGCGAACCAGTGGGAACCGACTGCGGCCGAAAGCGGCCGACCCAGAGCCGATGCAGGTCGATGAGAGACTGCAGCAAAATAGATCCGACTCGAAACGGTCTAACGAATTGCAGCCGTCAGGGGCCAGTGGGAGCCGATAGGAGCCGACAGGTTTCTCCTCCCCATCGTTCTCTTTGTGTTCCCTCCCTGCTCGGGCTCACGTAGGCCCCCCAAGTGAAATCCACGATGGTCCTGATGGGCCCCCATAAATTATAGCAAACTCCGTCCGTCGTGTGTGCTTCACGCTGCCCGGATCTAAGGGCGCATGCCCCCTGTGGTTGGTGTTCGGGCCATCACTCGGGCCTCAGGTGGCCATTCGGGGCGATTCCGGGCCAAAGGGAGCTTTCGATGAGGAAATGGTCACTGGGTGGCGGCAGGAAAATGAATAAAACAAGCCGCCCCCCCTTCGATGCCCCAGCTGCCAACCAATGACAAATGGCCCGCCGATTGGAGGGAACGATGGGCAGTTTGTGGCTGATGATTGATATGTATTTGATATCTCTCTCTCACTCTCTCCCACTCTCCCTCTCTTTCTCTGGCTCTCGCTCTCTCGCAAGCGCATTACGGCGACGCTGTCTGACAGACATAACACGGCAATCGGACGGGCAGGATGGTCTGACGTAGCGGTCTGACGACGAAGATCCCGCCGCATTGCCACGGAGAAGATGGCGAACCTTCGGCCCCCTTGTCTGCAGGGACCTAGCAGCATGCCATGCCAGCTCATTCACCACCTGCCCCCCCCCCTCGTCTTCCAAACAGAGCCTGGCACCTCGCAACGCTCAAGGCCTCAAATTTCTGATCCGCCACCGCGAAGTGGGTACGTTGAGGCACATTGACATACATTTCAGTTGTCTGATAGGTTCCCCATAATTATCCCAAGTCGCTCCCTTCGCACTGCGTGCCCTACGGGGGTTGACCCCCCTCCTGATTAGATCAGACCGCCAAGACAGAGCACCCGAACGCATTCGAAACCCAAATGGGCGCCCCACACTTCTCCTTTTGAACTTCTTCACGTTCGCCCCCTCTCATCTCGCGGCCCGTCCTGCATCTTTGCGCCCCCAACCCACCTCCCCCCGTTCATACTCCCTGCGCGTTCTCCTTCCGACATCCCCCCTGCGCCACCTCCTGCTGATCACGCCCTTCCCCCTCTTATTCGCCCTTGCTATGGCCCAGCGCGGGCGAACCTCCTCGACCCTTCCGGGTTCCCCGTTGCATCCGATACCCCACCTCCGCCTCGCTCCACCCTCCATCCTCCCACCCAATATCTACACATCAATCCCCCTCGTCCTATCCCTCGAATGTTACCCGCCTTCCCCCACCCCCGTCAGCGTTCCCTTCTTCTCTTGGTCCTCCTCGTCAGCCTGATCCTCTCTGCGTTCTCCTCGGCTTTCCTCCTCGTCGGCCTCCGCCCTTCTCTGCAACATCCTCCGCTTCCCTCCTCCCCCTACGCCTTCTGCTCCTGCCTCGTCGTCATCGTCCTCTGCCCCTCTTCCTGAGCCCCGTAGGCATTCCTCTTCCATCCTCTGCCGCCTCCTCCCCTCTCCCCTTCATCGGGGCGCGCGCGACAAGGTTCGCGAACCTAAGTCCGACCGGTGCTACATCATCGCTGGCATTCCACCCCAACTCGCCCCCCCCCTCCCCGCGCGTCCCCCGAACGCTCCGTCCGAAGAAGGGTCACTTGATGGGAACCGAATGATACATGATGGTGCGAAAGAGCGAATCAAGCAATCTGCGCCGAAAAATTGCTGAGACGGCCATGAGAGACGCGCCATGGCGCGCCGCAAAAACAAAAAAAACATGGGGCCACTGCATAAGCAACCAAAAGGCACTGGAACGGAGGATTCGGAAATGCATACGAGGGCATGCTGAACGCAAGCTACGTCGGAACGAGAACATGAGGGACTAGCGTGGCAATGCGATTCTTGACCAAGAATCACAGTGCACAAAAAACAAACACAAAACAAAAACGTAAACTGATTAACATTCCTAGAGACGCGAGCACGAATGCAACCAGCAAGCTAGCGACCAGGAGGGCACATAGGAAAGCGAGACCAAGGGACACAACGGGGCCAAAACCGACCCCCGTTCGCGGTGTTCAAAATATCGCCAGGGTGCGTTGCGAGGCACGCAACCGAACGCAAACGTTGAACGAACGATCTTGCAGCAGGAGCCTTCCTACAACCTGAACCAAACGGCGAGAACTTCGACGCTAGTGCACAAAGCCTTCCCCATGTCACGCACGCTAGCGAGAGTGTTTCATCGAAAACCGGGAAAATTCATGTACGTAGACGTCCTTTTTCCGCTCCTGAGAAAGGAATGCGCATGGGGCCACGAAGAGCGCGAACGAGCGGGGGCCACGAAGTGCAGATAATGCGGGGCCACAGAAGGCAACTATGGGGCCACTGAGGGTAGCAACTGGGCCACGTAGGATAATGAGGGGGACACACATTGCGACAGCGGGGCCACGAAGGGCATGCACATGGGGCCACAACGGGCGCGACTCGTGGGTGCCTGGGTGTCGGGAGCGCGGCGCCTGGGCAAGTTGCAGGAAATCCCAACGCAAGGCCATCTTTCAATAAGTTGCAAGCAAGTCTCCAGCGAGAGCGCGACTCAAGAGCGCCGGGAAAGCGATTCCTGAATAAATTGTAAGGAAGTCCAAAGCGAGAGCGCGATTCCTGAATAAAATGCATGGAAGTCTCGGGCGGGAGCGGGGGTCCTGGTTAAATCGTAAAGAAGTCTCAGGCGGGAGCCGTTGTTGCTGTAACCCGGGGGCCAGGGGCCCAGTTTGAGCAGGAAGACTTTCCCTGTCAAAAAACAAGGTGCGAGCGTCGACGGGCACACTTTGATTGCGAAAAAACAATATGCACCAGTGGGGGGGGATCAACAACAACAAACCGGTGACGCCTCCTGGCGCCGGCATACACGGAGTAACCGACATCGATTGCTCCGTGTATCCAAAACAGATTCTACTTGGATTCCTACTGGAACCTGCATATTGAATACACGGAGTAATCGCACTCGATTACTCCGTGTATCCTAGGCAGGTTCAAATTGGATTCCTATTGGAACCCGCATATTGGATACATGGAGTAATCGCACTCGATTACTCCGTGTATCCGAAGCAGATTCGAATTGGATTCCTATTGGAACCTGCATATTCGTTACACGGAGTAATCGCACTCGATTACTCCGTGTATCCGAGGCAGATTCGAATTGGATTCCTATGGGAACCTGCATATCGGATACACGGAGCAATCGCACTCGATTACTCCGTGTATCCGAGGCAGATTCTACTTGGATTCTTGTTGGAAGCTGCATATTGGATACAAGAGTCCATCGCACTCGATTACTCCGTGTACCCGAAGCAGATTCCAATGGATTTCGATTGGAACCTGCATATTGCGTACACGGAGTAATCGCACTCGATTACTCCGTGTATCCGAAGCAGATTCCATTTGGATTCCTAGTGGAACCTGCATATTGGATACACGGAGTAATCGCACTCGATTACTCTGCGTATCCCAGGCAGACTGTAAATTGATTCCCATTGGAACCGGCAGAGTGGATACACGGAGTAATCACACTCGATTACTCCGTGTAACCGAGGCAGATTCGAATTGGATTCCTATTGGAACCTGCTGATTGAATACACGGAGTAATCGCACTCGGTTACTCTGTGTATCCGAGGCAGATACTAATTGGATTCCTGTTGGAAACCGCATACTGGATACACGGAGTAATGCCACTCGATTACTCTGTGTATCCGAGGCAGATTCGAAGTAGATTCCTATTGGAACCAGCGGATGGGATACACGGAGCAATCGCACTTGATTACTCCGTGTATCCGGGGCAGATTCGACTTGAATTCCAATTGGAACCTGCTGATTGGATACACGGAGCACTCGCACTCGATTACTCCGTGTACCCAAAACAGATTCTAATTTGATTCCTGTTGGAACCTGCATATTGGACACGCGGAGCAATCGCCCTCTATTAATCCGTGTACCCGAAACAAATTGTAATTGGATTCCCAATGGAACCTGCTGATTGGATACACGGAATAATCGCACCCGATTACTCCGTGTATCCGAAGAAGAGTCGAATTGGATTATCATTGGAACCTGCATATTGGATGCACGGAGCAATCGCACTCGATTACTCCGTGTACCCGAAGCAAATTCAAATTTTATTCTTACTGGAAACCGCATATTGGATACAGGGAGTAATCGCACTCCATTACTCCGTGCTTCCGAGGCAGATTCCAATTCTGATTCCTAGTGGAATCTGCATATTTGAAAAACCGAAGTAATCGCACTCGATTACTCCGTGTATCCGAGGCAGATTCCATTTGGAGTCCGAGTGGAACCTGCATATTGGATACACGGAGTACTCGCACTCGATTGCCCCGTGTACCCGAGGCAGATTCGAATTGGGTTCCTATTGAAACCTGCAGATTGGATACACGGAGTAATCGCACTCGATTACTCCGTGTATCCCAAGCATATTCGACTTGGATTCCTACTGGAACCTGCATCTTGGATACACGGAGTAATCGCACTCGATGACTCCGTGTATTGGATACACTGAGTACTCGCACTCGATTACTCCGTGTATCCGAAGCAGATTCTAATTC